GCCCTTCCTTAGGGTCAGTTTTTCTTAAATCTTTCCCAGTGGATGTTTGTTCTCATAAGCAGTCTTTCCCTGTTCTTTGTTGTCCTTAGTTAAACCTTACAACTAACCTCCTATCTAAAGTTTCCTTGCCAAATTTAAGTCCCTCTTCCTTTCTCAGTGGGCATAAGAACAGACTGATTTTTCACAATGAACTTTGGGATATTTAAAACATGTTGTTGTGTCTTTCTTCATTTTCTCTATTTTTGTTAGATAGAGGAAAAAAAAGAAAACAACCCTGTTTTTTCAGTCAGTCTCCCTTTTCTAGATCATGTTTTATAAACCTCCGATTATGTCTGTTGCTGTTTTGGTTTCTCTTCTTTGGATCTCTAGTGTAGTACTGAAAACTGAACACAACTCTGCTAGGCATGAGGGAAGGTTTTGCATAAGAGATCTGGAATGGGATGAGGCTCTCACACTTGCCCTTACATCATATATCATTTTACCCCATGTCTGTACATGCTGTTCTCGTTTTGCTATAGCTGGTACAAAAGTCAGTGGAACCAAAGCCAGCCAAGGAGCAGTACAAAATAAATAACTAAGTGGAGAAATCTTTCAAATGTCTTTACATTTTCTGCTAGGTTCAGGGGGGAAATGGTTGTCAGATTTTAGTGAAATCTATTTCTTAGCTTTAAGCAAATAATGTAGGCTACTGTTTAAACACACCTCCTCGTAACTGCTTGGAATTTTTAGCTTGGTATCTGAGCCTTAAAATTTTACGAAGCTTGAACTAAAATTATATGCAGTTGTTGGCATTAATGCAGCAGTCAGCAATTTTTAATAAATAGTATTTGTTACAAAAGCTGAGACCTCCTTTTGACCTTTTTGTAGTAGGTCCTAAAATCTTGTAGTTGGGAGGGAGGAGGAAAGGTGGTGAGTGTTCACATTTCTCTCTATAAGCAGAGAAGGAAGAAAGGGCTGTTATTTCTGGGTTTAGATACTTAGGAGGCTTTTTTTTTTTCTCTTATTCTAATTTTTACAGCAGTGAGGCCTATGATAATCCAAGATAGACAAGGAACGGAGTAGAAAAGCAAGGGATGAATAGCAGTATACAACCTAAGGAGCTCTAGTAGTTAAGAATCTATATCTAGAACAACTCGGAAATATTAAGTCCAGTTCTCATTGAAAATTTCAAGAGTGCTTAAATAATCAGGGTCTTATACTGTAATCATTAGATTTGAACTGGCTTTGTTTTTTCTTGGAGGAAAAAAATGCTTTATAACATCTCATACATTAGAACAGGACACACTTAGGGTGGGATTGATCCACTTGACTTTAGGTAACAGCGTCTGAGCAAGCAGTCTGTGCTCCCATCTTAAGTCAGTGAAGAACACTTCACTGCCATGATCAGTCTTGTTCTGAGGCTCCAGATCAGATGAGCCATGCCCTAGAGTTGCCAGTTTCCTTCCTGATTATGGAAAGACCTTGGGTGACAAGCTCAGATGTTGATGTCTAAAGCCAAGCAAAATGAATCCCAGCTGAAGTGTGTAAAAGTGCGAGACCAACCCAGTACTGCCGCTGCTACTGGTGATACTTAAGAGTGTGCAGGTAATTCAGGACTTCTGACCGCAGTTCCCTGATCCAGTCTCTTTTCTGTATGGTGGCGATAGCGCTTATAACTGTATTTCATGTTCTCAGGTACTCGGTGTTTAACATTTTATTAGAAAATTAGTTTGTTGGCAGATCTGCACTCAGGACGACAGAATAGTGGGACTTTTCTAAACTTTTTTGACCTGTTCTAGAAAAGTGACATTCTGATTGAAGTTTGATTTCACACCAGGCATGCTCTATGTTCTCTAATGCTGTGAAACAACATGGGACAACCGATCTTTGTTACGTTAGACCTCTGTTACAAACAAAATTCTGTTTGCCTGTGCATCCATCTATTCCATGATCTCTAAATGTCAGTGGCTCTCAACACACATTTTTCATCCAAGAAACAGTAATTGGAAAATAGTTCATTTACCGCACAGCTGTATTTGTTGTTGCAGTAATAGCATATTATTTACCAGTGAAGACATTTAAAGCTTTCATACTTTTCCATCAGAGAGTATCCTCACAAATCCCTAATCTATTTATTTAATTTTCTCTAGATTTATATAAATATTGAAAAAGAGGCGCCTTTCTGTATGCTTAAAGCACCTTGGGCATAGCTTAAGTCTACATTGCAAACAGAATCTGAAAAGCATAGCAGTCTGCATCTCTTTCCCCAGGAGCAAACTAGACAGCTCAGAAAGTCAAATTTCTCTTTCACTCACCCATTAACAGTTTGCTCCCTTGACCATTCACTTTGTTTACCTCTGTATCACCTACTAAAACTGTTTTAAATGAGTGAATAAATTCTTACGGAGTAGGGCAGTTTACAGAAACATGCAGCTGTATAATAGAATGTACTTCCAAAAAGTTGGACAGTTGAAAGCTTGATGAAATGAACTTTGCAATAGCTTGGGGCATAAGACTGTGATGGCTGCACTAGTCCTAGTGGCTAGGGTTGTCTGGGTGACTGTAGTCACCACTGTAAAGGACAGATCAGAAAGTATTTCATTCCCAATCAATGGAGTTTAGTTTCCTTTGTAAAAGATGATGTCTTGGGTAGTTGTAGGGTTCAAAGCAGTGAAAAGCTGCTTTTTGTTTGATCAGTGGTAATTCCTTTGTATGTAAGAATGTTCACAAGCAAAGCTTTCATGTTTAAAGACACGAGGCAAGGATAGGTGGCAATTTAGCCACTGTGGTTCCGAGTTAGGCTTTTATATTTTAACGCTTGAGAAACTTACACGTTTTTCTTTATCTCCTGCACTAATATATTTTTAACTGTGGCAAAAATAAAAATCTGAGAAGCCTGATTCCTTTTTTGTTGAGTTTGGCATCTTTTACACAATGTTTTCTGAAAAAGGGGTTTGGTTTTTGTTTGTTTGTTTTGTTGTTTTTTTTTTTTTTTTAAAGGAAGTAGCATAAAAAAACCCAACCAGGAATCTTATGTCCATATTTAGAGATGTGAAATGCTACATCTCTCCACAGTTTTGCTCAGTGGTATAGTCCTGTGTTATTTGTTGGTTTGTGATTTGGTGTTAAAAGATTTCTTTGATGCCGTCTATCAGGCTTTAAAAATGCTGATGGCTATTTCATGCTTTTACTGCTCATTTAATTTTGCCCCACCCAATACATGTATAAAAATATGCAAAGCCTTCTATTACCTTTGATATTTATAAATGTTATATAAAACATTTATAAAATGTTAACATGAGTATGCTTGTTTATTTGCGTTCTGTCCCAGTTGGCAAAATTTTGTAGTTTGTATCAGTCGTCTGTTTATGGATTATGTCTGGATTATGGTTTTCGAGGACTGATGTGGACAACTTTGGGGAAACCAAGACTTCTAAATCCAGGGTGCGCCAGGTAGTGCTTGCCAGAATGATACAGGAAGGAGAGCTTCTTGTCTAATATGCCAATTGCTTTGTGGTTTAGATACCACATTTTAATCTCATCACTTTGTCATATCTGTTGTGTACGCTATTGGGTTGTAAATTGTGGGGGTTTGCTTCTGGCTTTTGCCACTGACCTTAGGCGGCTGATTCATTGTGCTATCTCAGTATTTGTTACCTAAAGATAATCTTACCTTCTTGCTGTGAGATCCATAAGGGAAAAGCCATGTGTAAAAGCAGTGTGTTACTAGAGAGGCTAGCGGGGAGCTCCAGGTTTTTGGTATGGCTCAGGAGGGAATAATGTTGCAACATTATAGCAAAGTATTAAAGGTGAATGGGAGATCTTATAGATGGGTGAGGTTACTTTATTTTGAGACAAAACCAATTTCACTTATTTGCAGTCTCATATTCACATGCTTACAAACACTAAGATGCATAATCATGGAATGGTTTGGATGAGAAGGGACCTTTAAAGATCTAGTCCAACACCCCTGCCATGGGCAGGGACATCTTTCACTAGATCAGGTTGCTCAAGGCCCCATCCAACCTGACTTTGAACACTTAATCAAGTAATCTGTCCAGCACTCAGCTACCAAGACATTTGAATCCAAGCAGTCTGTCTGAGATGCTTTATGATGACACCAGGAGTGAAGGGTCACCACCTGTTGAGTTCTCATCATGGAACCTGGGTTCTTCTGGGGATGGTGACCATGCGTTTTTTCTTTTTTTCTTTTTTTTTTTTTTAATTTTATTTGCCTTTCATACTTCTTAAAAACAGACAGTAGTTCCTGTCTCCATCTTGTCCCACCTCTGTGAGTTATCAGGATTTAGTCTTAGTCCTTTGTCTCCTGATATGACTGTCTTGAGAAAGTGCATGCAGATATGTGGTAGGATTTAGTTACCATTCTAATAGTCCTTCTGCTGTTCCTTGCAGTGCTTCCATGCCCAAACATTGCCATTCCTTTGCCACTCAGACCAGTCTAAATGTTTTCATTATGGTTCTCTGCAACAGAGAGACAGACTCAGAGCTGTCTTGGTGTTCCCGATTGCCTTTTTACTTTATGGAATATGATTTAGATGAATCCTGTTGGGATAGGCAGAGGGACTGAAAGATGTACCTGTTTTTGCAGATTAAGAATGTAATTTTGAAAAGGAGGGACATAATATCTTTAATTTTCATTTACTAAGGCAAAGAACGTCTCCTGTGTAAGTGGGATGTGGCATAGCAAGCTATCATGTGACTTGGCTGCTTACTTAGCTTAGCAATGGCAACAATTCCTGTCTATAAAGCTGTGCTCATATAGTGTGTCATCACCCTGTTTTGGCTAGTGGACTTCACCCCTGGAATAATGTCTTCATTGTAAAGGTTTTAATCCAGAAATCTAGGTTGTTGTAAGATGTACAATATGGTTTGTTAGTAGAAATCAAAGAACTCAATCAACTCGATACAGTTCCACAGGTATATTTCTACTACTTTTTTTTTTTTCCTCTTGACTTTTGAGTTCTGGATAAATAAAATAATTCTTGGGTTCCTTCTGACAGATAAACAGAGGTCACATGACAACTGAAGCAAAGAGGGCTGCCAAGATGGAGAAGAAGCTGAAGATCTTGCTTGGTGGTTATCAGTCTCGAGCAATGGGCCTCATCAAACAATTGAATGATTTGTGGGACCAAATCGAACAGGCACATCTGGAGCTACGTACTTTTGAGGAACTGAAGAAACATGAAGATGCTGCAATCCCTCGGAGACTGGAGGTGAGATTCCTAAATGTAATACCTTAGGTCAAATACAGGCACTTTGTGGAAAAGATGTTTTTACAATGCATGGGCTCTGAGGTTCACAGCCTGAGTTTGTATCAAGTTTTTAATGGTCTTCTTTAAATTATACTTTTGGCTATTACCAGACTCCTCTGCCGTTCACTTCAAAATCAAAGATTCTGTGATATATATTAGAAGCTGGGACTAATCTACTAGTGTGTTTTTTAACTTTGTTTTTATTTTATTTCCTTGTGTGGTTTATTTTATTAATCTTCTGCAATGCGTATCGGCAGAAGTTCCATGTCTATCCTAATTTGGCTTGTTTTGTTTTTAATTACTGTTAGAACTTGGGGTAGATCTGAAACTTGTGTAAAGCCTCCTACTTCCTTAAGTCAGTGGACCAAATACCAGTATATACTACAAGAGATTCTTTTTTTCACATGTTGATTGTATTACTCCCTGAAGCTAGGGTTGTTGTGAGACTTGCAGATGGCTGGACTTTTGAAAAGCCAGTACTGAAATGGGGTTATTGTACTGATTTAAACATGGCGCTCGGTTTCAGAAGCTGCGCAGTTGTTCTGTAATTATAGTTCTGAGCCATCCTCAGAGTTCAGGCCATTTGCCTGCAGTCCTGTTGCTGGCTAACAACGTGTGCACATGTGATCTGGACCATTGCTCCTGAATAACACTGCCCGCCTTACCAGCCTCTAACTGGTTGGCACGGCTTTGAGGAGGAAGGTATCTTTCTCTTAAGCAGCCTTAACTTCAGCCTGGAATAGCAGAAACAGGTACACTGATATACCTGAAAAAAATGTCTCAGAAAAAAACTGTTCTTAGTTTAAGGATCTCCAGGATATTCTTCTCTACTTTACTCAGCTAACAAGGCAACCCTCAACCAAGACTCAGTCCTAGGCTTGAGCCAGTGCCAGGCTTGCTTTCCAAGAAATAAGTACTCATCTGAGCACAGTTTCTGTTTTGTTTTTTTTTTTCTTCCAGAAGAGAGGGTTCCATTGAGTCTCAAATCTTCTCAACCACTTTCTATAAAAAAAGATAAAACACATCAGTTCTTAAAACTGATTTTGTGAAGACAGTTTAGAAATGCTGATAGATGTGTTAACAAACTCAGAAGTGATTAATTGATTTAGTGAAAGTTAACAGTAAAAATATATTAAATAGCTACTAATAGCACCTGGTTTTAGTAAATGACACTTTACTCAGGGCTAATCCTCAGGATACATTTACTGTCTCTTCTGATAGAAGAGTGAAGGGAGATCAAATGAACTAGCAGCTGGCAGTTTTAGAACAAGCAGTAGTTCTCCTTCATGCACTGTGTAGTTAGTGGAAGAAGGCCTGTGGAAGGCCTTGTTGCAGGATGCGGGGTTAATTAGGAGGGTTACCCAAAGAAGGTTTTGAACAAACTCATGGAAGAATCCATGGATAACTGTTAAATACAGTGCACTGCTTGTGGCACGTTTCCAATTTGAAATCTCTCCTTTTGAAGAATTTGGTATTAACTGCTGTCAAAAACAGGGTAAGATACCTGACATTTGAAGTAAGATAACTGTGATACTGATACTCTACATCAACTGCTCTGTTTTACATTTATTGCTAAAATTACTTATTTTAAATATGTCCTGTCTCAGTTCTGACCCCTTCCTCTGAAGGAGCTAAAATATAACCTTTGGTAAAGATCTTCATGGTTGTGACTGTTGGAAAAACTGACTGGTTGCTTAATTACATTTTCCTTACAGTGTCTGAAGGAAGATGTGCAGCGACAGCAGGAGAGAGAAAAGGAGCTCCAGCAGAGATTTGCTGACTTCATGCTGGACAAAGAGACTTTTCAAGCAAAGTATTAAAGCACAAAATTCCATTTGTCACTGATGTAACATTTTTGAAGTGTACAGATACTTCTCCAGCAGCTTTTGCCATCAGTTGCAGAAATCAAGTCTAGTCTGCTGTTTGCATCTTGTCAAGTTTTGTTCTTTTAATGGACTATTCCAAATGCTCTAGGTATGAATGGCTTTAGCCAGTACTAAAAATTGGATTAAAATGTCCAAAATTTTATTAAAAGGAAAAAAAAAATCACTCTGGTATGATTCTAGCCATGTCTTCATTTGCTAGGGTTATCACATTATTCCTAATGTTTTATCAGTCTTAAGATGTGTAAGATACATGTGTGCAAAATAATGTCTTTTGAATAAACCTGGAATGTTAAAAAATAATGAAGAAATAAAACACCTGTCTTTTAACTAAAATTGAATCCTCCCCTACCCCAGGCCTCTTTCGTGTTTCTGGTAAATTGTCTTTCTTCCCTTCCCCTGCTGCTGCTTTCATTTTCCAGGACTGTAGTTTGTAATAGGAAGGACCTGTGCAGGATAATTGTGGTCCGTGTAATACCCTGTTCCCAATTCTTCTCTGTGCATGTGACTAAACACTCCCGTTTTTATCAAGATGTTCAAATGGTCATACTGGCAGTAAGAATAACTTCACCATCCTGAAACAGGGTAGGTTTAAATTTTATAAAAGCACCCAGCATAGCCTAACGGTTCCCATAGATTTCAGCAGAAAACATACCCTTAAATTTTCTAAGTGTTAATGCTTTTAAATCTTCTGTGCGTAACACATGTTCCCTCTGGTTGATGAACCTTTTTCTGCTCGCTTTTATACAGTGGGCTGAATGACTTTGGTAACATCGCAGTTCTGCCTTGGCCCAGACCTTGTGGTTGATTGTTGCGGAGGCTATGTCGATGTCTTACACATCACAAATGCTGGAACTCAGTTGCTTGTTCTGTTCAGTTTTTAGAATTGTCCTTTCCTCTGTTCTGGCTCTGATCAGCTGGTGTCTCCAAAGCACCTCCAGGTCACGGTTTGTGAATTAGTGTAGGCCAGGGACATGGGGAATGCTCAATAAGCAGTGGGGATGTGGCCAGCCCCGATAGCTTAATTGCATGTGTCTGTGCTTGGCCTGAGTGCTTGGGAGCATGCTGTCAATGGTTAGTTTACTACTGCAGACACGGACACATCATCTCACGAGGTCGCCGTTGCAAGCCATTGTTCAGGGGTGTATGGAGTACCTCCTGAGCACATAGTACTTTTGAGATCCTCGGTAGTGGTTCCTGTTGCTCCCTGGGAGCTGGTTACTCAGCATGCTTTGTTGCCCAGAGCAGCTGTGGGGTGGGGTGGGGAAAAGCTCCCTATTTACTCCTCTCCTCTCCTCTCCCTCTCCTCACGTTTTCACTTTCTCCCTGCTTTGACTGTTCTTCTGAAGGGTAAGGATGGGATTATTGAAAGGGGTGAATGCATTATTTCCTATTCGTTGAGGTACTTTCTTCCAAAATCTTTCTCTAAGTACTGTTTAGTCAGACCACACTGGAGTTAGGTGTTACTGTTTAAAATTTTGTCAGCTATTGCCAATGCTTTTAATACATGTATTTGCCAGAGTCAGGCATCTCATTAGAGGATTGCTTTCACGTTTTATTTGTGTGGAGGTGTTGTTCAGTTCTTCAGGGATCCATCTTATTTCCAGCTCTTACACTTTGGGTCTTCTGAGCAATTGTTTGTGGAAACGCATAGGGAAAAAGCAATACTGTATTGTTAACAGCACAGAATTCAGCAATTAAATACATCCAGTTGCATGCATCATGCAGTTTTGCTTGTACATATTTGAATTTAAAGGAGGACTTTGCCATTTGCAATTTTACCATGTTACAGAATGTCACTTTGTTTTGGCCTTGGGAATATTACTGGGGGACGCTGTCAGGGTTGTGGTTGTGTAGCTGTTTAAATGCCATCTGTGGTGATCAGTGATAATCGGAGAGTTTTTTTTTAAAGGCAACCTGTCTGATTTCTACTGATCACCGGCAGGAGTAGATACACAGCCAGCCTTGGAATATCTTTCCCTTTACTCACCAGGATATCATTCTTCTGAAGTATTAATGCAATTATACACTACATACTTCTAAAAATGTGTTAAATATTTAACTAAACCAGAGCACATCTGGAAAGAAGTATTAAGCATCAATCTTTTAGCATATGGGGTATTTTAGCTTGGATGGTTATACCCAAAAGGAAAAATCATATAAATGCGTATCATGACAGTTCTTGTGGTTGTGTGGTAGCTAGAGATATTAACAGAAAACCCTTGTAGGTTTACCAATACCACAACTACAATTATTTCCTTTCTTTTTAGGGCTGCAGCAGAGCCTCTTTGATGTTTCTTGTATTTTTGACAGCTTTGGAGCTAGACAGGTATTCAAACACTCTGCCTTAGCAAATATTTTTAATGGCAAATTCAGAAGGACTGATGAATCACGAAAGACTCTTTTCTTCCTTGAAATGCATACAATTAACCAGTCATTAATTGCAGCAGATAAGCATTTGTGGTGTGCAAAGCAGCAGATATGAGGTGGTTATATTTGAAAGGTACCTGCAGGAGGTTTGTTCAGTGTTTTCTCCAGTTCAGTTTGTTTACACAACGCTTAAGCGAGTTCACTGTTTTCCCTGTCTCTAGTCAGAGTTTTTTGTCCTGAAGTTTCTGCCTATCTCAATAACGAAAGAGAACTAATGAATCAGTCTCTTGCCTTACTTAAAGCTCAATTGTAGCCTGCTTTGGCTTTTTACCTTCCCTGAGCTGCCAAGAAATACTGCTGTGAGGCAGGGAGAGACCCTTTTGGTTCAGAAGGTACTCAAGGCCCTGTGGTGCTTCTTGAGCTCAGAAGGAGTGCTGGAGAAGGCTTGATGTCAGGTACTACTGCGGGTCCTAAATGAGCCCTGCTGTAATCAGGACTGGAGCGACCAGAAGACAGAAAGTGCAAAGGTGATGTTAAGCTGTAGAGGCTCCCTCTTCCCCATCTTGACTTTATCCTAGACAACTACTGCTAGAGCTTTGGGCCTTTATTTTGCAGACACAAAATACTGACAGAGATGTGACTATGGCACCATTCCTGCCTCCTTTTCCAGAAGCATTTCAATGCCGTGGGACAATAACTTATCACAGGCAGATGCTTAAGATGTTGTTGTCTGAGATTGTTAGTCCTGGGTATCATGGACAGCTTCAGTGCCCACTCTAAGGCAGTCGGTCTTCGATCTGCTGAAATCACCCCTCAGAGTTCACACTGGGTGCTCTCTGCACGTGTCTGTTGGATCCAAAGGGATGTGAATGGAGCAGCAGAGACTGGCTAGGACATCCCAAGATCAAGGAATTCAGGTGTGGTAGCTTAAACTGGAGTGCTTAGGAAATTTGTTCAACCAAGTTCGGATGCTGGTAGATGTCAGTGCTTCCAATAGCAGGTGGTGATGGAGCTTGGGTTTTCTAGATTTCTTTCTTGGGCTTAGGCCCAGTTTATGTCTCAAACAGTGCTCCCTGAATCTCTTTCCAAAATGCTTAGTAATTGAATACAGATGTTTGGTGGACACAAGTGACCAGCACACCTTGACACCGAACTTTTACTTAAACTTCTGAAGCCAGCCACTAATTTGTCTTTATTCCCAAGAACAATAGTAAATATAACCACAAACAGTGTGAACTAGTTAACAGCTTACTGCAGTGGGTAAACCATAACCTGACTGACAGAGGTGGGGTCGGGGTTATGTTGTGTGTCTTCACAATTATTTTGAGAATTGATTAACATTCTCCTTGAGAAATTCCTTCATTTCCACTTAGCATGCCAAGATATATCTGCAAGTCTTTAAAGAATTTCAGCTGATGATTTTCCTCCCTTCCTGGAATCAGACTTGGCGTTTACTTATTGGATCAATCCCGCAGCTGGAGCCTGCTTCAAAGTCTGTGGAGTTGATAAGACTGTCATTTACTTCAATTGAGTTGGATTCAGGTACCTGGGAAAGCTAATAGGACAGCAGCATTAAGTTATAACGGCTGAGCGTCTCATCCATACCCGGCAGATAACAAAAATCAAGCATGAGCTAGAGTTAAGGGGGAGATTTTTCTAAGGCACAGGATTCCCTGTGAGAAATCCAACAGAGCTGGAGTCAGCTCTTCAAAACATGGCAAATCTCCAGAGAAATAAGCACTGTTCTAACATTGTAATTAGTCGCTCCAGCCAGCAATGGCCAAGATACGCTGTAGTTCTCTGGCTTCCTTAAGTGGAGACTTTCAGTGCCAACAGAAGGAGCATCCCATCTTGTCTTTGCCCATTGCTGCTTGTTCTGTTTTTGCACCCTGGTTTGCTGGTGCAAGCAGTGGGGCAGCCACCTTTGGTTTAAGATGTGTTAAACTGGCTTGGTTGTCCAGTCCCCTGAACAGACATCGGTTGGGCCAACTTTCAAGGTGGGAAGTAGAAGTGAAGGTGGAAGTGGGGCAGAATTGCCTCTGTCAGAGGCTGTCCCACTTCACTGTCTGCTTCAAGTGACTGAAACATGGTCTGCAGTGCTCCAAGGCAAGTAGCTAACGTGAGGCAACTACTCACAATTAGGCTCTCGGTAACTGAGTCAACTGGATCTGAGCCCCTGATGATAAATGCTGGAGATTCATTGCTTTTTGAAAACATGGCCTGATCATAAATTTCTAAATAAAATGCATCAAAACCCATGTCTGAACTTTTTGTTTTGGCTGCAAACTAGCTAGCAGTATCTTAAACTAGTGTGTGAACTTTGGCTTGCCTTCGATATCCCAGGACAGTGATGTTGCTGGAGAAGATGACATTATTGTGGTCTGGATTTAATCTGCCTCACATTCATCTCAGGAATCCAGCTTGCAGTTATCTTCCATACTGTGGGTTCAAAGCAACACCTGTCTTCCAAGCAGGATTTAAAAGTGAAGTATCAAATAGCATTTCCCCCGTTTTCTTAGTTGAGTGAAATGCATGATGAAAAATAGCCAGATACTCATCTAAAAGCAAAGTGTCCTTGTAACTGATTCCAGACTTGTACTTTCTGCTTTTCTAGGACTCCAGCTTATACCCTTGCTTATGAACAACAGAATGCCTGGTTCTGCTGGTCTTGAAGACTTGCATTCATGTTAACTCACATGGGAGCGAGATCAGACCCAGTTCCACTACTTTAAAAGTTCAACACGGTCTCTTAAGCGCTTAGTTGAATCAGGGCTTTAATGACTTTGAAGCAAAGGGGAGTAGCAGTGGATAAAAAGAGGAGATTCACTTTTTGGTTGCATGCAAGCACTGCCGTTAGGTAAGTCTCTCCTCTCCCCTCCAGCTAGCCTATGGCTCATTAATTTTTTTTATGTATTTAAATGAGGTGGTTTAACCAATTCATGCTGCCTCAGG